CTTTCCCTCTTTTTCTGTCTCTTTTTGGATTAAGTAGGTATTTTCATGATTTGATTTTATCTCCACTATTGACTTCATAGCTTTACCGTTTTATTTCAATATTAGAGTGGTTGTTTGAGGATTTGTAATATATACTTTGAATTTATCACAGTCTACTTTAAAATATATAATGCTGTTTTACATGTAGTTTACGAACTTTAAAAAGATATAATTCCTCTTTCACCTTTTGTCCTTTGTGTTATTGCTGTCATATATTTTGCTACTATTTTTGTCATATATATTTTTTTCTATTGTCATATATCTTTCTAATATACATGTTATAAAACTCTCAATACATTGTTAGTATTTTGGCTTTAAGCTTTTGATTATCTATGAAGGAGATTAAAATCAGGAAAAATTATTTTATATTTACCCACATACTTACTATTTTAAGTGCTCTTCTTAACTTCATATTGATCCATATTTCCACCTGGTATCATTTCCTTCTGCCCAGAGAACTTCCTTTAAGGTATCTTATGATGCAGGTCTGCTGGTGACAAATTTTTCTCAGCATTTTTGGTTTACAAATACCTTTATTTCACTTTAACTTTTGAAAGGTATTGTTGCTGGATGTAGAATTCTAGGTTCACAAGGCTATTATTATTATTATTATTTCTTTCAACACTTTATAGCAGATGCTCTTAACCAGGAGTGATTTTGGTTGTCACAAGTAGGAGGAGAGAGTGCTACTGGCATCTAGTGGGTAGAAGCCAGGAATGCTGCTAAATATCCTAAAATGCACAGAGCAGTCCTCCTACAACAAGGAATTATCTGGTCCACAATGTCAGTGGTGTTAAATTTGAGAAATTCTGTCTAGAAGCTAAGGTTGCAATCTTGATTTTCCTGAAGTCACATGGCCTAGTTGAGTTCCTTAAGGGAATCATCTGGCGCTTCTATTTGAGCATCCACATCCACAGGTGAGGATTGCGTACCACTAGTATATGTAATCTGGTGATGCAGAATAATGACCTGTATTTTCGCAGCATGTGACATAATGTGAATTGTGTCAAGGTAAAAAACCCTGCCCTAGAGATGCTGTTCTGTCGTGTTCTGGCTTGCATAGTTTTTGACTTAAGATGTCTTTCTTCCCTCTGTCTGCTTTGAAGGTTTTTTTCTTTTTACTTGTTTTCAGGAATTTGATTGAAATATGCCTTGGTGTCATTTTATTTATGTTTCTTATACTTGGGTTGGGATTCATTGAGCTTTTGGGGTTAATAGGTTTATAATTTTCATCAAGTTTAGAAATGTTTCCAGAATCGTATTTTCTAGTAGTCCAATTACATGTGCTTGTATGTTAGATTACTCAATATCGTCCTACAAGTCACTTATGCTCTGTTCACACATTTTTAGTCTTTGTGTGCTCTGGGTTTGTTTTTATATTGCTTCTATTGGTTTATCTTCACTGTCCAAACAAACAAGTTCACTGTTCTTTTCTTCTGAAAAATCTAATCTTATGTTAATCCTAACTAGTATATTTTTCTTTTCCTATCTTGCATTTTTCATCTCAGGTCTCATTCAGTTGGGTCTTTCATATCTTTATTACATATCTTTTTATTTTATATCTTTATTATCTTTTTATGCCATTATGTTCTTGTTTTCCTCTACCTTTTGGAAATGTGAAGCGTATTTATAATAGTTGTTCATCATCCTTGTACTATCATTTCTTTCAGTTCTGGGCTGTCGCTCTGGGGTTGATTGGGTTTTCTCCTGGTTATAGATTTCATTTTTCTACTTATTTGCATGTGTGGTAATTTTTTTATTAAATTCTAGAAAGTGTTGATTGCCAGTGTTTGTTCTATTTCTTTAGTATTGGACTTCGTTCAGGCATGTATTTAACTTGTAGATTAGTTTGATCTTTTTGAGACTTGTTTTTAGCTTATTAGGGTGTATCCAGAGCCCCACTAATAAGACATAATCTTCTGATGCCGTATGTATTACAGCATCTCTTCTCTCTGATTGGTAGGGTCATGAACTGCTTTCAGCTGTCTGTAAGCTTTAGAAATTATTTAGCTACCAAAAAGCAGCCTCATGTAATTTTATCTCAAACATGTCAAGAGTAGAGGGAACCTCACTGCTGATATCCGGAGTCTTCTTTCAGTGTAGCTCCCTCCTGTCTGGTACCTGCCCCATAGATTCTTGCTGATCCAGCATGCCCACTCCAATCTCTGTCTCCCAACTCTGCAAGACCACTAGGCTCTGTTTTGTTTTGTTCTGCCTGAACTGTAGCCTGGAGACTGCCTCCAAGCAATGAGCTGGTACAGTCCTAGGGCTTACCTCATTTATTTCTTTCTCTTAAGGACCTCAGTCCTGCACTGTCTCTTGTCCAGTGCTGATAATGGTTGATTTATGTGTAGCAGTTAAACCCTTGTGGATGGAAGTGAAAGTCCTCAGGCTGCTACAGTTTGATTGCTTTTTATAGAGGGGAAGCTTACCCTCAGACAGGGCCTCAGAGCATTTTAGATCCTTGAGAAAACTGCAGTCTAGGGTGCAAGTCAGAGCAGGAAGAGTTGGGCACAAGCAGAGCTTCAGACTCCATTTAGGTTCCACCAGTTGTCCCAGTAACATCCTTCACAACAATAAGATCCAGTTCACACTTGCACATTTCATGTAGTTGCCATGTCTCTTTAGAATTCTTCAATCTGGAATAGTTCCTAAGTCTCTCCTTGACTTCCAGGATCTTGACACTTGTGAAGCGTCTGCCTGCTTCTTGTCAGTCTCCAGTTCCTTAAGGTAGTATATGGTGTTGGTGAGGATAGAAAAGGGGGAGAAAAAGGCATGCAAAACTCTGTCTTATAAGTAAAACTAAGGTTTCATATGTCGTGGCTTGAGATTGCTCTAAGATCTGTAAGGAAAGTGACACGCAGGTTACTTCATCTTCATGTCTTCAGTGCAATGTCTCAATGACTAGGTGAATTCTCTTTTCCTTACTGTAAAGTGTCAATATTAGTTAAGATAAGGTTCGGTCACTGTAACACAAAGACCTAACATCATCAGTGGCTTGAACAACACAGAAGTTAATTTCTCTCTTTGGTAAAAGGGTGAGGCGAGCATTCCAGGCTGGCAGATGGCCTTGCTCCACATGGCCTTTCAGGGACTCGTGTTCCTACAAAATAGTTGTTTGCCTATCCCCAGACCTTGTCGTTATGTGCATAGTCTCATAGGGTCTCCTGGGTTTTGCCCATCCAGGAGGGGAAAGAGGATATGAAAAAGCACCCCCTCCCCTGGTGTTTTAAGCAGTCAACAGCCAAGGAGTACACATCACTCCACTTCTGCTCACATTCCACTGGTGAGAACTGTTCTTTGGCCACCCATAACTGCGAAGGTGTCTGAGAAATACTGTATAGGTGGGCAGTCATGTTCCCAGCAACAATCCTTTTACTGTGGAGGAAGGCAAGAATGGATTTGAGGGGACAGTTGGTAGTCTCTGCCAGGGGGCCAACCAAATAATGGGAGTTGTATTAAGAACATAATCATACTATTATTGCAAGACAAAAGAGAAAAATAGTAAGTTTTAAACATTGA